ATCTATCTATCTATCTATCTATCTATCTATCTATCTATCTATCTATCTATCTATCTATCTATCTATCTATCTATCTATCTATCTATCTATTATGGAACATTAAAGCAGCAGTTCCCCTTTAAGAACCTCCTGGGTGTGGAAAATAGGAAGTTTTCTTCTGCGACTGCAGCCAATTGCTTTCGTTCCATTGCTCTTTATGTGGCGTCCCTAGTGTACAACCGGATGGTTAACTGTTTATAAAATCTACCACTTCTGTAAAAAAAAAAAATAACACCCAACCTATTGAAAACAATTGGTGCCGAGAGACAGTTTTTGGCTTCAAACAGTAAGAAACCGTTGAAACTCTGCGAAGGACGGACGGCGGCTTTGCTAGAGTGGGAAATCTTTCTGAATGGAAAGCGGCCAAAGGAGGTTCGGCCGCTCTTCTTATCCAGATATTACGACAAGGAAAAGAGAGGAGCTGGATAACCGGACCGAAGCGTAAACAACGCGTCCATCAGTGGTTAGCGGGGGTCAGAGAGGCTGAAACCGGACTTCCTTTGCTCGGTAGCCTCCCAGCAGCAGCAGCAGGATACCCCGGACACCATGGTCTGCGCTCCTCTGGGCAGCTGAATGAGCAGGGAGCCATAGAGCAGCAATCCCCCGCTACTGTATTGTGTGAAAGCAGCTTGTGTAGAAGATGGGGCATCCTCCTCTGGAGTTCAGCGAGTGCTATAAGGACAGTCCAGACTTCAGAGACACCCTCAAGTGTTATGAGCTGGAGCTGGACAGGACGAGCAAATTCCTCAAAGAGTTGATCAAAGATGGCAACAGTGTTATTACTGCGATCAAGGGTGAGCATGCTTTAATTTTTCTCCTTCTTCCTGGGAAACAATAAGGGTCTGTTGCATCATTTGGGCCTTTCTGGGTCACAATGAATGTGGGTGAGTGGGAGAGACACATTCAGGCTGCTTTTCAAAGGTCATGCTTCTTCTGATGCAGATGAGCAACTTGAAAACATCTGCAAGTTTTCCACTCTGTGTGGGGTGGGATCCACAGCTGGAATACGTGGAGCAGTGCTGCAGATGTGACACCCACAGAGGCACAGTGTCTGCCCCTTTAAGGAACCCTGAATGACAGGCTTATTATCACCTCCACAACAGAGGCTGTCAGCCCAGATAATAGGCATTTACAAGAGGTCACCAGTGTTTATGAAAGGGATAAACTGCAGCAAATAATCCAAGATTTATTTGCATTATATCATGCACTTTAGCTGCATTGAATGCTATGAAATCTGCAAGTTATGCTTGGTCTATTGCAGAGAGAGCATCATCTCATTTCTGAACTTTTGCACACAGGCAATCTTTTCTTTGTGATGGATGCAAATGTTTATTGAAATAGTTACATCCTTCACAGACCTTAACCTTTTATAGGGCACTTATAGTATTATTGGAATCCAGGACAACACCTCGTTACCTTTGTAACATTAAAAAAATAAGGATATTCTCATGGCAAAAATTAATGTCAATGTAATAAGAAGAAATGCCAACTTGCCCAAATATATTA